CAAAACTTTGCCGCGTGCAAGACTGACAGGATCATTGTGCAGCAGCGCCAGCCTTCACAGAACAACTCACCAGTGGATTGGAATTGCCCATGGAGACTGTGTGCTGCACATGTGAAAGTCGAAAACAGAATAAAAGAAATCCTGAAGACATTCTGCTTTTCTCCACATAAGACAGGCTTGGGTTGGGCTCCCTGCCCTCCAGAAAAACCCACTGTTGATTCCTTGGACCAGCAAAGTCTTTCTGGTCTCTACATCTCAGTTTCTGTCTCTGATTCTTTCACCCACATCTCCAGAGCCAGCTGGAGCTGAGTCAGCCATCTTAGTGTGCTTGCTTGTAGCTCCCTCTCCTACCACATCCATGGTAGCACTAGAAATGAGTGATTCGCTTGTAAGGTAGCCTGCAATGAAAAGGCTAACAGTCTGAGCACTGATCTAGTGAAAACTTTCTCCCTAATATACATATGCTGATATTTGGCGTGCAGCCAAATGTCTCCTGTAATATTACTACCAAGTATGTTTGTTTGACTGGTTAATAGCATGTTGAAGTACTGCATTATTGAGTGTTTTGCCTCTTTTTTCAGGCATAAAGCATGAATGCCAAGCAAATGGGCCAGAGGACCTCAACCGAGCTTGCATTGCTGAGAAGCTAGGAGGCTCCCTAGTCGTAGCTTTTGAAGGAAGTCCCGTGTAGATGTCATACAGTGCCACAACTCAAAAGCATTCCATGTTTTAATATATCAGTTATGTAAAGCAACCATTCTAGGCAAGGGTTTCACTAACTATAGGGAAGCTGTCTTGTAGAATAAAGTAGATTTTGGAGATGTAGCTCGTATGTACAAATGACCCTAAATAAATCAAATCTAAGGATTTATCTTGGTGTATTAATATTTGCATTGGTTGTCCAGCCCAATACTGTCCCTGATGGATTAACACTAAAGGTCTCCAAAAATTTTGGTCCAATGTAGCAGTGTATCATGGGAAGAAAGGGGGGGGGGGAGGTGAGAACAATCTGGTTCCTGTTCTTACTTTTCTAAATTGTAACAAGCAAAATTCAGTCTTTTTGAGGCTACTGGCCAAGTTGCCAAACTCAAAAACTTTTCCCCTGTAACTGTTTAATACAAAACTTAAAACCTCTAGTTAAAGTTAGGCTAAAGCAACTTGTTGGCACCAAAACTGGGTTAAATTCTTAGTGCTTACAGTTGCAGAGCAGTACTAATGAAGGCTAATCAGAAGTTAGAGATAAAATAGACACACTTTTCTGGAGAAATAGTCCTAGTCCACTCTCTTGTAAACTCACAGTGCAGTAATAATATTTAAAGGTTCACTGGTTCTATAGGTTCAATTTTCTTGTTAAGAAGTGTCTTGAGATCTCTTCCAGCCTGAGTGATTCTATAAAAATTTCTTTTCTGTTGGCATAGTTTAATTTAGAACTACCTTAGTTACTCTAATACACACTTACTAGCGGATCGGATGCTTCTGAGGCTTTTACAAATGCAGATTCTTATATCGGAGCTCTCCAGTTATGGGTAGTACAGTGGGAAGGAACCACATCTTAAAAAGTGGTATTTTTGGCCCCAGTCTTTGGTCACTTGGTCCATTTGTCCATAATTACTATTGATTTAACTTAGTAGAACCAGTCAGCCTGACTAATACGGCTTGATCTGGGCTTTTTGTCTGTTAGCTTCTTTAATTCTGTAGAAATGCATGGAAATATCACCTACTAGAAAGTTTGACCTGAAATGCCTTTTGTATGGGGGGTAGAGAACATTCCTGTGCCAGCTACAGAGATCTTAAAAGCTTCCATGTCTCACCAGTGGTTGATTAAAGCTGTTTCCTTTGTGTAATGTGTACATGGGAGTTGCATAGAGTTTTCCTGTATGTCTGTAGAGAAAAAGAAAAAAAAAAAAGAACAAAACCCTTAGCCTCCAGTGCGTTACTGTGATATGTTCTGTGCGTGCCAAATTCGAATAGCCTAAATAAATGGGGTTTCCCTCCCCTGGGTCAGTGACTGATTCCTCTCCAGCCTCTGGATTAGCCCTCCTGCAGCGGGGCCGGTGCTGCTGGCTGAGCGTGGCGGTGTCCTGCGTAAGGTGGGTGCTCGGGGAGCTGGTATGCCCTGTGCTCCACACTGGGGGGAGAAAGGATCGGGGGGAGAGAGGGTGGAAGGAAGAGCTGATAGAGGCAGAGGGATCTGGGAGGAAAGCAGGTTCATCTGTCTGCAAAGCAAGCTGCCCTCCTTGCCCCTGCACCCCTCTCAAGCTGAGCAACCGCCAGCCTGCTGCAGGCTCTAGCTCCCTAACAGCACCTCGTCTCTGCCTTTTAGGCTTTGGACCCAAATTCCCATGGGTTGGAGAGCTGAGCAGGAAAAACCCAGCACGTCAGTTATTTTGCGCTGTTTTCCCAGTAAGAACTGAGGGAGCTTTCTCTGGCCAGCCCAATGAAGCCCAGGCGGTTACAGGCTGCCCCTTTCTCCGCGAGCTCTTGCCAGATGTGCAGGGACAGAAAGCTGCACTGTCCCTGCAGGTCCACGGCGGAGCTCTGCGCTGCGCTGGTTTATCTGCAGGGCCAGGGAAATAATGGTCCATTACCTAACTCGGCATGTGCCCTCTCTGGCCATGCTGCGTGGTTAAAACCTTTAATTAAAGGCAGGCATTGACTGCTTGCTCTGACTTGGCACCCACGCAGGTCACAGGGTTGAGAACACAAGGTTTTCCAATGCAAAGAGATCCACCAGGGAAAAGCTTTCTGCTTTTGCAAAAAGCAAACCGGCCTGGTTTCTGCTGGTGCTTCTAGCCTGTGTTTCTGTCAACTCTGAGCTTGCCCAAGTGGGTAATCATCCTCATAAACAGCCCCTCCTGGCCTAGGTGTCTGCACTACTGGTCTTTGTCCAAAGTCCAGGTTGAGATAAGGGAACCGGAGTGACTCAGCGGGAGTGGTGCTGCCTGACAAACAAAGGGAGCTCCCAGCCAAGATCCAGCCGATAACTAGTGCCTCCAGACTGCTGGCATCTTCGAAGAGATAACTAGCCCAGGTGACACTGTGGTGGACTTCTGCCTGGAATTTCCTTTCTTGGTTAGAAAACAGAGCAGGAAATGCCTGCAAAGGAAAGAAGGATGGCAGACCTGGAGGGTAGGAGGGCACTTCCTGCAACGTGAAAGCTTTTGAATCAAGGACTTGAGTACAAAGTGCCTTAGTCCCAGGACTTCAAGACATGAAACGTCTGAGGTGGCACTTTGGGCCTTAGCTAGGTGTGTTCCCACAGCTTAAGCTGATCTAAGAGGCTTCGGCTGCTTTTAGGACCCTCACAGCAAGTCCCAAGGTATTTTACTGGTATTTTACTTGTGGCACTCCAGGGCTGGCAGTAACCCTTAGCCTTCAGAGTTAAAATGCTGCAGGTTTGTCCATGTCATGGAGTTAGTGGGCCAAACTTCACCACCTCCCAAGGCTGGTTGTCCTCCTGCAGTTGGAGGGGATGAAAAGCACAAGATGTTTCCTCTTGTGACTGCTTCAAATTCCTTCAGTTAATGTTTCTCCCAAATCACCCAGACCTTCTGAAGAGGCAAGGTAACCAGGGAGAGACGACATCATGAATGCTTCCTATGGCTTGGCCAGCTGTTGGGGAGAGAAATTACCTTCTAACAGGACTACAAGAAGAAGAAAAAGGTGAAGTGGTTTCAGGTGACGGACACATCTGAGAGCCATGCAAACTCAGCAGGACCGTAGCCCAGGTCGTGCAGTTTGGCTGCAGGAAGAGCAGAGCTGCTAGAAACCTTTTCAAGTCCACATGCAGGCAGGGATTTCCCAAAAGCCACTTTTGTCCATTACACTGGGGAGAAGATGGGGATGGGTAAGAAGATAGGAGACTGGTAATTCAGGCCTAAGCATGAGCAGCAGGTGGTGTAAACATAATTTAACTGATCTAGCAAAAGGGAACGTGAGTGTCTAAGCTGTGGCTTGATAAGCCCACGTACCAAGGCTGAAAGGTAACAGCCATGGCTGAAGTCAGCAGAAGGATCCAGAGTTCCCATCCAAAATGACCCCAGCTGGGCGATTGCTTGATCTTTGATAAAGCACCTGCCTGCAGCACCCTGGGGCCCGGCTGCCAGTCACCTGCCCTGAGTCAGAGGCTGACCAGTAACAAGCCAACAGCATAGCCTGCCTGGAGGAAAGGAGATAACCCTTGAAAGGAGATAACCAGCCGGTGCTCCTCAGCCCTATGTGCTGGTGGGCAAGGCTTGGGTTTCTCCTAGCCCCTCAGGATGTCCTCCTTCCACCAAGGTGCTGAGGGAAGAAAAAATCCCAGCAGGTACCACTTCAGGTATTGAAAATTAAGCTCAACGTCTTTTCCCAAAGAGACCTTTTTTTTCAGCTTTGCCTAACAAGATCAGCCCTTCTCTTGCTTCCTAAAACAGCCAGCTCGGTAATGCGTCCTGGAAAAGCACCATGTCCTTCTGACTGAGCACACAGAATTGGTTCTTGTGTGGCTTTTGGAGCCCCATCAGAGCCCACCTGCCCAGTGTGGGATGCCAGGCTGTTTTGGGGGCTTTGGTACTGTTTGTGTGCTAATGCCTAGGAACCTGCTCTGTTTTGCACAAGAGCTCACAATAAAGGAAATTGTTGTTGCAAAAGCAAAAAACTGAAGAAAACGAAGGATTGCATCACTTCGCTGCGCCTGCTGGTCTGGGGCCCTTCCTACCGGTGGCTCTCTGGAGGTGACAGCCACCCTGATACGCTCAACAGCTCACTCCAGCCCATGGGTTAGGTGGGGTTTTTTGTTGCAATCCTGGTAAAATCCAAGTGTTCCCTCACTTTTGGGGATCACAGAATCACAATGTTAGGGATTGGAAGGGACCTCAAAGGATCATCTAGTTCAATCCCCCTGCTGGAGCAGGATCACCTAGATCAGATCACACAAGAAGGCATCCAGGTGGGTTTTGAACATCTCCAGAGAAGGAGACTCCACAACCTCTCTGGGCAGCCTGTTCCAGTGTTCTGTTCCCCTTACTGGGAAGAAGTTTGTCCTCATGTTCAAGCGGAACCTCCTATGTTCCAGCTTATATCCATTTCCCCTTGTCCTATCATTGGATGCCACTGAGAAGAGCCTGGTTCCATCCTCATGGCAGTCACCCTTTACATATTTATAAACATTAATGAGGTCCCCCCTCAGCCTTCTCTTCTCTAAGCTAAAGAGACCCAGCTCCCTCAGCCTTTCCTCATAAGGGAGATGCTCCACTCCCTTCATCATCTTTGTGGCCCTGCGCTGGACTCTCTCAAGCAGTTCCTTGTCCTTCTTGAATTGAGGGGCCCAGAGCTGGACACAATATTCCAGATGAGGCCTCACCAGGGCAGAGTATCTTAAAAGCCAAAAGGTGACAGGAAAGGTACGCTGCTCTGCGGCAAGAGGTGATGCTGACAGCGTTGAGGTCGACAGTGGTCCTTGATTCATGAAGTCCTTCCCCACACACCATGAAGCCCAGAAAGAGAAACTGAAGGCTAATCATGGGTGCAGGGCAAAGGTCTGCTTACCGAGCTTGCCCTTCCATCATGGGGGTGACCTGTCAGAGTGAGTTCTATGAGAATAGGGCTGGGAGGGGTTGGCAGCAGCATTAGCAAGGCTTGTAATGAGTGTGTTGGGTCTCAGCTGCCATGCAGGGGGGTGGGCCACTACTTCACAGGGAGACAGAGCCCTCTGGCCAGGTATGAGAGCTCCATCACCGCCCATCCTGCGAGGAACTGCAGGCAGGGGTAGGCAGTGAGTGACGGAGGAGTGGTACTGAGCCCCCCACTCCCCCCCTTCTCAAATCTGGGGAGGTGGTCGGGAAGGCGGTGGCTCTCCTTGCGGATCAGCACAACCTCCCCAGTGGTGCTCAG